AATAAGAAATATCAGCTATGTGGGCACAAACTGAAAGGAGAGGTTCGGACTGGACGTAAGGAGAAGTTATTGAAATCACAGAAGGGTTTGGGTGGGAAGGGGCCCTACAGACCATCCTGTTCCACTCCCTGCCGTGGGCAGGGACACCTTCCACTCGACCAGGGTGCTGCTGATGTCCTTGGTGGAGCACTTTGACATCTCTAAATGCGGGCTTGCCCCGTTCTCTGTCCTCCCTGTGGTGCCAGCTCTGGAGTGTCGGCTGCTCGGAGCTGTGGGAGCAGAGTCAGCAAAGCAGGGCCCTTCAGGAGAGCCAGGCTGGCTCCTGGCTGTGGGAAGGCTGCCCTGCCCTCCCCGGGCTCTGGGGAAGTGCCCCGGGCGCCTGTGACCCCGGCACAGCCTGGGCTCTGCGCCTGCTCTGTACCGGGGCATCCCTGGGTCCGGAGCTCTCCCGGGAGCCTTCTCCTCTGCAGGTGAGCACGCCCAGCTCCGCCAGCCTGGCTGCAGCCTGGAGCAGCTCCGTGTCCCTCCGTGCTGTGTCCCCGGGCTGGGGTGGCTCTGCAGGTGGGGTCACACCTGGGCACGTCTCTGGAGCTCCCGAAGAGCTGCCGTCCCTCCCGTGGCGGAGCTCTTAGGGCACTGTGTCAGCGGCAGAGCTGGTGGGTGCTGACCCAGCAGAGGGGTTTGGGCGCCCTCGAGCCCTGCTGGCTGTCCCGGTGGCAGCGTGACCCCCGGCACCGGGACAAGCTGGAGGGGAAGCACCTTCAGCAGGGTGCGTGAAGGACAAGCAGCACATCTGAGCTCTCGGAGTCCCTGTGCTGGAGATGACCCCGAGGTGTTAGAAAGGCTCTCTTTTCCCAGCCCAGCAACCGAAGAAGGAGTGGGGATTCCTGGGCTCTGGTTCTCAAGGCTGTTTATTTTCTCTTATCTAGCACATTCTTTCTCCGAGCCGCTGAGGTCTGTCTGGCAGGTCGGTTCGTGGCACCCTGACTGCCCTTGGGGCAGTGTTATCTTCTTATACTAAAAACTACGTGTACTTTATTTACAATTATTTTCCAATACCTATCACCTATGCTAGACAGTCTGTCTCTACTCCAAACCAATCCAAAAGTGCCAGCATCTCACAGAAGATGGAGGCTAAGAAGGAGAAGGAGGAAGGACAAGGCACGCCCAAATCCCTCCATCTTGCCTCCTGAACCCCCATTCTAAAAACACCAAAATTCTACTTTTTCACCCTGTGACAAACTAACTAACATTCTACTGGCTTGTAAGTCTTCACATAAAGTTGGTAGTTTTCTCTGTGGGTTAAAATCGAAGGCACGGGTGTCTTTGACTCCGTGCCAAGGTCTCTGAGCCCCCTGCCAGGGCCTGGAGCCATCCAGGGCAGCCAGAGGAACGTCCCGGGTTCTGACACTGAGCTTCCCAGGTGGGAATGTCAGCTCCTGGTGGCACGGGGAGCTCGGAGCGTGGAGCCGGCCGTGTCTGCTCCAGGATGGGCCAAAAACCAGCGACTGCCCAGAGAGGGGCAGCCAGCCCAGAAACAGGGCAGAGCTGGTGCCCAGCCAGCCAGGAGCTTCCTTGGGCGCTTCCTTAGTGCCCCCGGGGGGCACAGCCCCACACGCGACTCCCTGATTTCCTTCCCCTTTGGCACAGCCTCGGGAAGGTGTGCTCGAGTCAATGAGCCCAGCAGGGTGGGGCAGGGCAGCCCTGCCTGTGGGACACAGCCCCGAGGTGCTGCCCTCGTGAGCTGCAGAGCCATTCAGCCGTTCTGGAATAAAAGGTTTGTCCTTCCCAGGAAGGGGCTGGTGCCTGCAGGGCCTGGGTGGTGCTGGTGCTCTGTGGAGGGAGGTTGGTTGATGCTTCCAAGGTATCACATGGCAAGCTGGTGCCATCAGTAAAATCAAAATAAAGCCACAGCTTTAGGCTTCCCAGCAACACCACCTCCTGCACGGAGCCAGCCTTGGAGACCCGGCTGGATACCAGAGGGATGAGCAGCCAGGATCAACCCTGCCTAGCTGAGGGGCACAGAGGAGGTGATGCCTGCACTCCTCCCTGCCCTGTGGGAGAAGGGAGCCAGCCGTGACTCCAGGAGCAGGGTCAGGGATGCTCCTGGCCACACACTGACCTCCTGCACATTCCAAACGATTCATGCCATTGGTACATGCAAATGGCCCTCGAGTACAATTTCCATGGGGGAAAAATAAAAAAGGGGATTTGCTGAAAGGCTTGTGGCAGTGTGGGGAGGGGGCTGCTGTGCCTGGGGGTGTCAGAGGCAGCCTGAGCCAGGCACTGCACTCTCAGCTCTGCCCCTGATGCCAGCACAGCTCTGCCACCTCTCTGTGACATCCCAGCCTTGCCAAACTCAACAGGGACTTCATCCCAGCCTTCACTGGAGCCAAGATGACGCCCTTTGCTTTGTCTGTAGCTCTCTGTGAGCTGTGACAGCCCCTCTTGCCAGGCACCTGTTTCACAGCCACCACCCCTGCCCTCACCTCCGCTTCCAGCTGTTAAGCCCCGACTTGCATTGGCCCTAAAGGGAGGCTCTCCTGCCAGAAAAAATTGGGTTCAGCCCCACAAGGAATTGTGAGGACTTCAGAGACTATGCTAGTGTTTAAGGCATGCAGAGGAGAAGATACAATGGGATTGCAAATCATGGGCACAACAAAACACCCCAGCCCTGACATGCGTGGCCCCTTCCACGCCATTTCCCCCGGCTGAAAGGCAGGATGTGGGGAGTAAACAGGGCAGTCCAGGATGTGGGGAGTAAACAGGGCAGCCCAGGATGTGGGGAGTAAACAGGGCATTCCAGGATGGGCACAGTGAACAGGGCAGCCCAGGATGGGCACAGTGACCAGGGCAGCCCAGGATGGGCACAGTGAGCAGGGCAGTCCAGGATGGGGCAGTGAGCAGGGCAGCCCAGGATGTGACAGTGAACAGGGCAGGCCAGGATGGGCACAGTGAGCAGGGCATTCCAGGATGGGCACAGTGAGCAGGGCAGCCCAGGATGTGGCAGTGAGCAGGGCAGCCCAGGATGTGGCAGTGAGCAGGGCAGTCCAGGATGGGCACAGTGAACAGGGCAGGCCAGGATGTGACAGTGAACAGGGCATTCCAGGATGTGGCAGTGAGCAGGACAGCCCAGGATGTGGCAGTGAGCAGGGCAGCCCAGGATGTGGCAGTGAGCAGGGCAGCCCAGGATGTGGCAGTGAGCAGGGCAGTCCAGGATGGGCACAGTGAACAGGGCAGGCCAGGATGTGACAGTGAACAGGGCATTCCAGGATGTGACAGTGAGCAGGGCATTCCAGGATGTGGCAGTGAGCAGGCTGCCGTGCTGCTGACGAGGTGCCAGCGCTGTGACACAGGCTCCCTGTCCTGCAGCAGCCAGGCAGGAAGAGCCTGGGCTTTGATCTGCAGGCAGCAGCTGGGGGCTCAGCCATAAAAACAAGGAAATAACTCACTGCACACACGCTGCTGGTGCAAAATACCAGTCTGTCCTGCCAAGGCAGAGACCCGGAGCTGCTCTCCTGGAGCTGCCTGAGGCGATGATCCCACCCCAGGTGCTGCCCAGTTCCTGGTGGTTTTTTCCCCCCATTTTTTCTCCTCTTCATTGAGAAAATGGCCTGACAAAGGGAAGCACCTTTCCTTCCTTGCAGTAACACAGAAGCTGACCTTGTCAGCTGAGTTACCTGTGGCGACAAAGGGCAAATGACCAGCGAGGTGTGTTTCTGATAAAAGCAGGAGCTCTGTAACACAGAGACTGCTCTGTAAAATCAGGACATACTTTCACACGGTCGATAAGCTGGAAGGGCTGCAGGCTGGAACAGTTTGCTCAGGTTTTAATGGTTGACTCATTAGCGGTTCGACCAGATTTGTCTATTTTCTACATTTGGAATAAGAAGATGAGGTGGGAACATTTCCTCTTTCACAGTCCCAGGGGGATGGACTGCAGCTCTCACCAGCACCTCGGTAACACAATAACTTTATTTACAGTGCACAGCCTTGAGGTGCCAGCACAGAATCACACAAAGTGAAGTGGTTGGAAGGGAACTTAAAGCTCATCCAGTTCCACCCCCTGCCAAGGCAGGGACACATTCCAGTAGACCAGGTTGCTCAAGGACTTATCCAACCTGCCCTGGAACACTTGCAGGGTCGGATAATCCACAGCTATCCTAATCGTACCCAGAATCCTGATTTTAGCCTGCTTTGAGCAGGCCTGTGATTGCCCAGCTGTGCTGGGATGTCATGTGCACATTCCCTGGCTGTCCCCTCCTCACCCTGTCCCCCACCCTAGTGCCCCATGTCCCACATCTGTGGCAGAGGGGCCCTATGTCTCCTCCCGCAGCCCTCTCAGCCACCCACAGCCCGTGCCCTCTTCCCTCCGTGCCTTATCCCCTGTCCCTGGGCACCAGTTCCCATCTCCAATCCCCTACCCCATCCCCAGTACCCTCCTTTGGGCTACGTCCCGTGTCCCAGACCCTGCTCCCCCCTCTCCAACCCCACACCACCATTCTCTGTGCTGCTGTTCCCTCTGCCCTGTGTCCCACGTCCCCATTCACCATGTCTGTGCCCTGTCCCCCACATCCCCATTCACCATGTCTGTGCGCTGTCCCCCGTGTCCCCATTCACCATGTCTGTGCCCTGTCCCCCGTGTCCCCATTCACCATGTCTGTGCCCTGTCCCCATCCTGTGCCCCTGCAGCCGCTCTCCATCCTACCCCCGTGCCCTACCCACGTCCCCCATCCATTTCCCTCTCCTCTGCCCGGTTCTCCCCTCGCCGTCCCCATCCCCTCTGCCCGGTTCTCCCCTCGCCGTCCCCATCCCCTCTGCCCGGTTCTCCCCTCGCTGTCCCCATCCCCTGCCGCTCCCCGCGGCCATCCTCCGCTCCCCACGCCCACCGGATCCCGTCCCCGTCACTGTGCCCACATGACTCTGCCGTCCCTATCCTCGCCTCCCGTTCCCATCCCCGCCTCTCGCTCCTTCCCCGCCTCCTTCCCCCGTCCCCGCCTTCCGCCCCGTCCCCGCCGCTTTTCCGTGTCCCCGTGTCCGCTGCCTGTCTCCGTGCCCCAGCCGGCGCCCCGGTGCCCGTGCCCGTTCGCTGCCCGGTGTCCCGGCAGTGCCGCTGTCCCGGGATGTCCGTGCGGGCGGTGCGGGTGCTGCGGCTGGGCGCGGTGCCGTACGCGGAGGCGCTGCGGGTGCAGGAGCGCTGCGTGGCGGCGGCGCGGGCGGCGCGGGGCGCGGCGGGGCCGCCG